TTTCCTGGAGAAGTTGGCATAACACTACCATTTGATGAACTAGCAATGAACTAAGCTCATTCTAGTCAGGCTAGCATAGCATTAGGAATGGAAATTGGGTTGCTGTTTCTAGGTCCTGTCTTATTTCACATGGGTGGCCTGCAGCAAGTAGTTTCACAGGTTGACAGCACACCAAAATAGAGCTGCTAGGTTCTTGTGGGGAATACTCTCCTAGAGATCTAATTACACAGCCATAGCCTGTTGTGGAAGGGTGGATCAGACCCTTCCCCAGAGAGGAACAGGATTGGCACTGTTAAGAGCCATCTCCACTCTCCTTCCTGCTTCCCAGAGATTCACATAAACAAGCTTTCATCCAAAGCAGAATTTATTTATCCAGCAACACACAGATAATAAGCAATTAGCATGAACCTCAGTGACTCCCCAGATCAGGCTACAGAACAAAGCAAGGGACACACAGAGAGACAGGGTAATTATCTGACAGAGCTCTTGGTTGCTCTAGATGATGGACTGCTAATTTTGGGGTCTCTAGTTATACCCTGTTCAAAACACCATACTGCATCAGAATGAACATGCACAATTACATGTTTTGTACATATTGCAAGTGCCCCTGATGTGATAGGACAGAGTGGACCCTCTTTCAGGCCTTATCTGGACTTCAGAATCTGTACATTCTCATCAGGTGTGCCTTGGGAGTCAGTGTTCTCTAAAACAAAACTGACCTTCAGGACCAAAATCTGGCCCTCCCTTGCTGTTTCCAGAGAGGGTTGACAGAAACATTTGTTTCAGACAGAGACAGGCTGGTGTTTGCTTCTTAGAAGGAGAAGCATAGAGGATTCTAAAATGGCTGTGCTTTGGACAATAAAAGGTCTAGAAAATGTCAGGACAAACAGAAAAATACAGGGCTGGTTTTCATTTCTGACACAGCTGAGTGGGCTTTGCTTAGCCATGGACAGATTTTGTCTGTGGCCTTTAGAACATAGAACCAAACAGTCTCTGTTTCTCAAAAGCAAAGAGATAATTTTCTGTTTTCCTCCACTTCCTGGGCTCTTCTGGAGCACTTCCTGCTCCAAGAAAGCACCACATTTGAGGTCTCAGGGTCTATTTGGAAGTAGTCAGATGTGGAGAGAAAAGTTTTATTTCAAGAAATTCACTGCTTTATAAAATAAAAATGAATGGAAGCCATTGCAAATATAGTATTAGGCAAGCCTGACTGTTCCAAAGTTGGAATGAGTATTCTTTCAGGTGATTACCAGGAATTCTGAGAATACAGGTATTTTTAATTGATTTGTAAACCGGGGAGGTGGGATAAAACCACAAATAATCAAGGTATGAAATCAACTGATTTTCTGTGCAGATCAAATCAAAACTGAAGCAAAAATGCTTATTTATATTTCTCTCCTCACACGCGGTGAAGGGATACTATAATCAGTAATTCCATGTGGAATGAACAGATAATGCAAGTGATGCTAAAGTGCATGACAACAAAACCTAGGTGTCCCTGTGACCTCCATGGAAGAGACTTAAATTCTGTTGAAAAAGAAACATGATTAGAGAAAGGAAATGGCTCACTGGCAGAGCATCTGCTTGGCATGCATAATGTCCTAGGATCAACCCTCAGGCATCTCCAGTTAGAAAGATCAGAGAAGAGGTGATGCAAAGACCTCCACCTGAGAGCCACTATCAGTCTGAATAGGCAATACTGACTTTGATGGACTTTGATGGTGTCAGCAATTTTCAGTACAATAATTTGCCTAAATGTGAGCAATGTAAACAAAATGTAAGCTAGACACTATTTAGTATGAGTATCATTCCAATAAAATTAATTTCTACATAAATCTTCAAATTGGTTTGAATATATTTCTCTCCTAATCAAATATTTCAGTCCAGGCATTTCTTGTTTCTGGGGCATAAAATTAACTTGGTGGTGGAGGAAAGTGCTGCCAAGTCACAGCCAACCAGGAGTGAACCCTCAAGGTTTTCAAGGCAAGAGACAAATGGGAGACAAAGCTGGTTCGCCACGGCCTGCCTCTGCAGAGCAACCCTTGATTTCCTTGGTGGTCTCCCATCCAATTACAAAACAGGCCTGATGCAGCTTAGCTTCTGAGATGTGGCAAGTTCAGGCTAGCCTGGGCCATCCAGGTCAGGGCAAAATTAACACTGGGTACCTTTTAAAATATGGGTTACTAAATATAATTACTAAAAACATGCTAAATCAGATAACACTCTACTTATGACATTCACCAATTTCCCAGAAAACCAGAGCTCTTCAAATACACAAGTCCCTTTTTCCTCAATAAGAAGAGAATCTCAGTATGGTTCTGCAGGCACTACTTTGCTTCCTGTACTCCAGATAATTAAGTAAGGCATGTTGTTAAAAACTTTCAGGCAATCTGGTTTCCAATAGTTACGTATCTAGTGGAAAATGAAATCATCCCGAAGAATGAACACCTTAAGAACTTATTATACTTTTAATCACAAGACAACTCATGTGAAAAACCTTTCAGACTGACTGCACTCTTACTTTGTCATATATTATGTTTGTTCCATATGCACTTGATTATTCGCTTACACTTTGTATGGCTATCGTTAACCTGACCTGTGTTGTATTATATACGTACAATTTAATAAAAAATTTAATTGAAAAATAATAATAATAATTAAGTAAGGCAGTGAAGGGTCAAACCACATAGCAAATGGGAGATCTTAAAATACCCTATTCTATCCACTGGAGGTATGCCGAATTCAAACATCCCCCATACTGAAGAAACTACAGTAACGTATTTCCCTCAAACACTCTGACATACATAATCAATGGATATTTCAACATGCCATTTCTCTTGTAAAGGTAAAGGTTCCCTTGCTCAAAAGCCAGTCGAATCCGACTCTAGGGTTGCAGTGCTCATCTCCGTTTCAAAGCCGAAGATCCAGCGCTGTCCGAAGACGTTTCCGTGGTCATGTGGCCGGCATGACTAAACACCAAGGTGCACGGAACACTGTTACCTTCCCACTGAAGTGGTACCTATTTATCTACTTGCCATTTCTTGCTTTCGAACTGCTAGGTTGGCAGGAGCTGGAACTAGAGACGGGAGCTCACTCCGTCATGCGGCAACTCGGGTCTCGAACTGCTGAACTACTGACCTTCCACAGCCTGCAGTTCAGCGTCTTAACAACTTGAGCCACCGCAGCTCCATTTCTTTATTTCTCTTGTAACAGTAAGTAATAATGCGAGGAGGTAGCAAATGTTAAGAAAGATGCACGCTGAAACATTATGTGACAGTATACTGCAAGCTACTGGGTGGGAAAGACAGGGTAGTTTTGACTCTTTGGTTATAGCAAGACCCTTCCCATTTTTATGTCCCAGATCTGTTCCAGGTGTTACACCCAAACATGCATTCACCATATACCTTATTCCTATTTGGTAGAACATTCCAGCACTGCTGCACGTGACGACAATTATCCTGAACCGAGATGCTTGCCTAATGTCTTCTCCGTCTTTGCAGTAAAGCTTTATTACATCATTCAGACACTGAACGTAAACACAAACAAGCAGTTTCTTCTTCATTTATGACTTTCTAAAGCTAATCTACAGCAATGGCAGAATACTGATACACAAAGTACAATTTTAAAGATTGGAAAGATGTTTACTGCTTTGTATCTGTGAAGCACCATATACTTGATTTTGATTCCAATAATCAGATGTAGCATGAAAACAATTTTAAGGCATTCTGAGTGAGCAACAGAAGACAAAAGGGGCTGCTCTTGCAAACTGAACCTTGTTGCCTCGTTTGCTTAAGATGCACTACATATTCACAAAGCTCTCTACACTTCTATATAGTTTCTTTTGGTAGCTTTTATGTTGAATTGGTTTACATTCTTCCTTTGTACTCTTGCCTCCCACTACTTTATAGTGAGAGAAGCCTACATAACCTGGACTGTCCACCACTAACTCTTGTAAGAGCAACACTGCTTATGCTAAAGCAAAGTGTTGACTCCAGTTTTCGGCATTAATATCAGGACTACAACTACATACTATACTGAATCCCAGGGATGTCCCCAGGTCCTATCAGCATACATACTTTTGGAGTTGTGTGCTCACAACCCCAGGGCATGTGGGAGGTCCATGATGTGCTTTAGAGGGGACTCAAGGTGCTGCCCGTGGTATTTTCTCAATGTGAAATGGCTCTGGGGAGCACTGGCTCTGTTGGGGAAACTTGTGCACAGCTTATCAGCAATGTTCCCTCTAAGCTGTGGGGTCTTGTGAGCACAAATTCTACTTTGTGAGCTCCTGGCATTAAATTTGTGAGCGGGCGATTTGGCTACTGCATAAATTAGTTTGCTCTGGAGCCATCCTTCCTGAGCTAAGACAAAAATGTGTGAAGCCGGAGACTAAAAAACTGTGAGCTAGCTCACACTAACTCAGCTTAGAGGGAACACTGCTTATCAGTACAAGTACATTTCCCGAATGGAGCAAACACTGGGTCCTTGAGGATGTTTTCAATCAAGAAAATGGCACAGCAGGAAAGCTTAAGGCTCTTCTCCTTGAATGCTCCACTCCTGATCTGTGTCAGGCCCTCATGTAGCTGGGTATTAAGTTTCAAGTACAAAAAGGACCCTGAGATGGGCCTGGGAACAGTGAGCGTATCATGTAATTTAGGTCATCAGTCCTCTTTCTGCAGGAGTCTGAACTCCCAAGCATACTTATCTCTTCCATAAAGTGTACAGCTCTGGGGATACCATGCCTCCTAGTCTCAGTGGGAGGCTTACAAGAACTGCACACTCCACTTCTCCATTTTACCCCCCCCCCCCATGGAGAAACTGGCTGGTTGACCTGGAACAGTTTATCTGCATGAGTGAGATATGAAATCAGCAGGGGTACCACAGCAACTATTAGTTTATTTAATGCGTTTAACATACCACCTGTCAAGATATCCAAAGTGGTTTAGAGTTGGAAGAGTTAGTTAGAAAGCCAAGCACTGAATACTGTAAGTAAGGGCAAAAGAATCAGCATTGCAGAATACAGGAAACAAACTTGGTGTGAATACGTTATTTCAGCAGCAAGGCTGCCTTGGAATGCTATTAACTTGGTCTATGCCAAATGTACCAGCTTCTCTCCCCCAGACTGAATTTAGGAGAAATTGGTTTATTGGACTGGAGCCATATTTACAAAGAGCTGATTGGCTGGCCCTTGCATCAGTCACAAATCACCCAGAGTAAATATTGTTTTATAAATAAAATCTTAAATGTTTGTTCATATTAACATGCAAATTCTTGAAAAACATAAAAAATCTGTACAACCTACCTGATATGTACAGGAAGGTGCAAATATGGGAAGCTGACGAAGCCAATATGCAATTCAGACAGAATGAAGTAAAAGAAAAAAGGTCAGCTTTACCTCTTCATTTCTGCTGGACGCATTCACTCTGACCATAGTTCCATGCTTTAACATGTTGCTGTCATGAAGTCGTAAACAAATCAGATCTGTTGCACTGTTTGACGGTGCACAAACTAGGATTCGGCTGTCTGGTAAATTGTAATGTATCTAAAATTTTAAAGGAAAAAAGACACACAACGTTTTTTTTTACAGTTGCTCTATTTCTTGGGACCTTCTTAATAAGCATTAACACCTTAGTTTGGTGTAGTGGTTAAGTGTGCAGACTCTAATCTGGGAGAACCGGGTTTGATTCCCCAGTCCTCCACTTGCACCTGCTGATGTGACCTTGGGTTAGTCACAAGCTCTGGCGCAGCTGTCCTTGAAAAAGAGCAGTTTGTGTCAGAGCTCTCTCAGCCCCACCCACCTCACAGGGTGTCTGTTGTGGGGAGGGGAAGGGAAAAGGAGTTTGTAAGCCGCTCTGAGACACCTTTGGGTAGTGAAGGGCGGGGTATAAATCCAATCTCTTCTTCTTCTTCTTCTAAACAAAATACGATCTGGAACAAGGTTTTCTGTGATGTTATAAGAAAAGTGTTTGCCCTTTAAACAAAGTAACCTATACTCAAAATATTATTTTCCCCCTTTTGAAAATCTACTTGCTATTAAAACATCTCTGTGAAGAGAGATTGGAGCTACTACTGGACTCCGTAAGTGTAACATTTTCTTTGGGACAATTTTTATCTACACAAAAGTAGTTTTTACATGACTGATTCTGGTCTACAATAAAATGCTTTCTAACAACATTTTTCAAGCAAAAGACTTGCTCCTCTTCAAGCCAATGATGTTTATACCAATACAACTGCAATTAGTCCTATTCCAAGATTTTAGGGTGGACAAAGCAAATCACAAGCCCTACTTTTCCTTCTCAAAATCCCCCTATTGTAGACAAGGTCTTAACTTTGTTCTTCCCCTCCTTTTCAAATTAAAAAAAATGAAATTCATTTATAACTAAGATTAAATGATGACTGAATGAAAGAAGAGTTCAGATTTAACTAACAAGCCTTGTATTAAGTTTTATACATGGGCAGTAGAAAGACCCAATTACTCCATTCACCTTTACCTGCAAAATTGCTTCAATTATTGTTACAGTTTTGCCAGTTCCAGGTGGCCCAAAGATAATATAAGGCATGGGACGACATTCGCCACTCAGTATCCTTTTCACGGCTAGTCTCTGATGCTCATTCAGCAAAGGATTGAAGACGTCACAGTCTCTTGGCTGAGAAGTTGTTGTGTCATTCCCTGTATTAAAAATAACTTATATTTCCTATGTCCACCAAATAGCAAACAAGATATTTGCCTCACCCAATACAATATGAATCAAACTGCTTAACAAGTCAGCATGGCACCCAAATCAGTGAAGGACTATAAAAACCTATTAGTAATTAAGTAGTGGGAAATATTATTTATTTATTTGTTTTATTCAATTTATACCCCGCCCTCCCCGCAATGCGGGGAATCATTTATATTTAAGAAAAAAAGTTGCTATAGAAAATCTATATTTGATTTTTTTATTGCACCCTTCCTCCAAGAAGCTCATGATTGCATATATGGATCTCTCTTCCTCCAATTTATCCTCATAATAGCCTTACAAAATAGTTTCAGCTGAGAATTACCAGCCTAAGGCTATTGTGCTTCATGACTAAGTGAATATTTGAGCCTTGGTCTCACCAGTCCCTCTAACTCAACACTCTCCCTAGTATTCTAAAGCTCACAGTATGCCCAGTTTTAAAAATCACATCTTGCAACTGCACATAAGCAAAAGGTACAGAAGAGCTTCTAAACTGCATATACAAAATGACTTAATATTTGGAAAAATAAAGCAAGCATTAAATTATACCTACTTACTTGTCTGTGTGGCAACAGTAACCATGTCATGCATAATGGCCACCTTGTTCTCCTTTGGAAGCCTTTTTTTGTTAACATTTAGCTCCTTCTCATTCTGTTAACAGCACAGGGAAAATACAATCAGTATCAACATTTGTCAGTTTAAAATAGCAACCATTGTTAACGTTTTGCTGTAAGAGTAATGGCTTGACAACTGCATGCAGAGCTTAGTTACCTGCACATTCTAAAAAGCCTTCAAACTGCTTTCCAGATATAATACTGCTTGAAAAGAGTTTGAAAAAAGCATTTGGATTGAAGAGAGAGCAGCACAGGTCTTTGTTTTTTTTACACTGAAGTCATGAGCTGAGCTGCTAAATGAAATGGCAGTCTCCAAGATCCAAACACTAAACATCCTTAGAGTTTGTTCCAAACAATTGCATGACACAGCACTGAAGTTTTTCAATATTAGCAAAAAACCCTATTCAAGGCTTTGGTGCTCATCATTTTGACACTCAAAGTAGTAAGCCATCTAAGCAAAAAACCAACAATACACTGCTAAGCAGCTGTTTACCTCGTCTCCTTGTGTGGTGCTCAGTCTTTCTGCACTGCCAGGACACCAGTGCTTGACTACTTGAGGAGACTGCACTCCAAGACTGTCTGGAAATAAAACTTTGGACAGGCCAAGAGAACAGGATGCTGTGTTATTTTGAACTGCAGTTGCATCAACTGAACTCCTCCTTTAATAGCAGCAAATGTTATGGAAGCAGAAAAAACTTGTTTCTGGCTCTTTAGTCTCAAAAAGATCAATCCATGCCTTTCTGGATGAACTACAGAAATATATAGAAACACTAGCACTTTCAACTATCATGCTAGTCGTCATTCATACATGGGAATCATTTACAGTAGCCCTGTTCATGAGTTACAGTAAACACAGCTATAGCACACACTTGATTTTTCCTTATGTGTAATTCCCATGTTACACTCACCACACATACAGCTGCACATATGATTGGAACTACACATTTATCCAGGTACTGACCCCTGGTTTCATTTGTAAAGTATGTTTGTTGTTTCTTATACACAGATGCATGCACATATATGCAGATTGTATGTGTGCTCACTAAAAGGGCTAGCACTTCCAACAGACATGGTATCAGGGACATTTAGATATAGCCCAGTTTGAACATTTGTACAGCTTCAGAGGGCTCTTTTTGTAGCAGGAACTCCTTTGCATATTAGGCAACACACCCCTAATGTAGCTAATCCTCCAAGAGCTTACAGAGCTCTTCTTACAGGAGCTACTGTAAGCTCTTGGAGAGTTGGCTACATTAGGGGTGTGTCACCTAATATGCAAATGAGTTCCTGCTACAAAAAGAGCCCTGCATGTGTATATATGGAGGAGCCAGAAGGAAAAGACTTACAGGCAGATTGGGAGAGAAAGGGCAGGTAGGGCAGATATGTCCTGAAGATGGCATGACATCCAATTCCCCTCAAGCTGTATATGAAACCTCTCTCTATATATACATGTCAATAAGACTACTGTGATTTAGTCCAGACCATACAAGAGCATAATTGATTAAAAGGCTGAAGATTCCCAGAGGAGCTCTAAATAAATTCCCTTTCTCCTGTCCAAGATGATTAGCTCTGTAGAGTTGACACATCAGTCAAAGAGTTATTTCAGTGGCATCAGTAGCATAACAGTTTGCCATCTGAACTGAGTGGGGTATGGGGTAACCCTTACACAGAAATAGTTTAAAGCAGCCTCCACTTGGTAGCAGTCTGTTTGGAACAGGCTGGGTCTTTCATTACAGAAGACATACCCTACCCTTTTCTCGCAGATGGATGGCTTGTTCTACAGCAAAATGGCACCTCCTGGTAGTAGTCCTATCAAGAGATCAGAACAGAAACTAGAACTAGTGTTTCTGGAACTCATAACAGTGTGCACAATCAACGTATTTGAGCTACGGCTGTATTTATAAAGACATGGAAATGACTTAAGCCAACAGTTTCAGTTCAACCATTTCTCATTAGCAGCTAAAGACAATTATACAAGGTATTATTCAACATTTCTTTAAAGATGGATAAAGCTATACTACATTTAAAATTAGATAACAAAAGGTTTTCTAAATTAGGATGATCTCACTTTTAGTGAAGATCAGTCATCTTTATGCACAATGTTACTATTATGTTAATGAGAACAAGGCCATTAAATCAACACTACTCCGTACATGGAAACCTAATAGGATTAACTACTTTTTCTCTTGTGTAAAAACCTCTACAACACACACAATTGAAGGATCTGGAATGAGCTTCCCAAATCTTTTCAACTGCATACATGTGATTCATAAAACACCCTGTATACAACTGTCAAGTCTACAGCGCATACCTACTAAATGTAAACTCCACATCCATGGGTTCACCATTATAAGCATGTTCAAATTCTGGATTAAGCCTTAGAGTAAGTTCTTCTTCATGAATCTACACGTAAGAGGAAGAAGACAGAGCTTGAACTTCAGTCCTCCTAAAATTATTATATGCTAATCAAATTATATTTCTATACGTGTTTTAACAGAAGCACTTAACTGTGGAAATTTACCAAACTCAAACACAAAAAAACTCTTAATGAAATTAATTCTAAGGCAAAAGGGCTACCTGCAATCAATCTCAAGACAAAAGTGTTTTTGCATCCACTTTCCATTCCCCCACCCCGCAACCCTGTATAATGTAGTGGTTAAAGTATCAGGCTAAGATCTGGGAGACCCAGGTTCAAATCCCCACTCAGCAATGGAAGCTTGCTGGGTGACCTTGGGACAGTCACACATTCTTAGCCTCATCTACCTCACAGAGTTGCTGTGTGGATAAAATGGAGGAGAGCAGAACAATGTAAGCCACCTTGAGTCACCAATGGGAAGGTAGGGTATGAATGAATAAATAAAGCAAAAGCAGCTTACCTCAGTGACAGAGGCAATATAACTTATTTGCTCCAAGTAATCTTGGGTCTTCAATATCACTTTGTCACCTAATTTAGAACACACACATGAAACCATTTCCTCTTCATACAACTTACAACAGGATCTCTGTCTATGTAACAGGGAACTTAAGCAAAGTAAAGCACTTCTATTTTCAGGGCTTCAGTGATGACTTTAAATACAATGTTAAGATGAATCTCTTTATTCACACCTGGTGTTTTGCTAGCTGGATTTAATCATTCACTGTTACCCTATGGATGCTATGTGGAATTTCTGAGATTTTTTGGGAGTGGTAGGATATACCTCTTTAAAATAAAAACTAATGCACAGAAGAGTGATCAGCAGGCTCTTGCCATCTTCCCAAAAAATTGGAAACTGTTTTATCTGTGGCTTGAGAACTCTTCCAATAGGTCAGAATTTTAATGAATAAAATATGTACACAGGCTAATATGGCAATTTTAACATGTCTTAAGCCATCCTGCAAAATAAAGACTGCAACCATGTGTGCACGCTTAGTCTCAATAACTTGGGATGCTTAATAGAAACAGATTCCATTTAAAGAAAAGCAGGTTTTGTCTTAAACTGTACCATATTTCACACTAGAAAAACTATTTTATAACAACTGTACAGTTATTTTATAACAAAGTATAGTTGGTAACAGCTGCCAATGCTGTTAACGTGCACAGTAAAAAAGGTAAAGGTTCCCTTGCTCGAAAGCCAGTCGAATCCGACTCTAGGCTCATCTCCGTTTCAAAGCCGAAGAGCCAGCGCTGTCCGAAGACGTTTCCATGGTCATGTGGCCGGCATGACTAAACACCAAGACGCACGGAACGCTGTTACCTTCCCACCGAAGTGGTACCTATTTATCTACTTGCAATTTCTTGCTTTCGAACTGCTAGGTTGGCAGGAGCTGGAACTAGAGACGGGAGCTCACCCCGTCTTGCACAACACAACACAATAACGTGCACAACAACTGCGTAAATAAAAAAAGTTTTTACCTAAACAAAGATAATTAAACTACTCAAACTATTCTATGAAAATTAATTTTATATCATGTACGCAATTCATAATACAGATTCCAAATTATTCACATATCAACCATATTAAAATTCAAATTCTCAAATCATAGGACAAAAAGCCAAATGTTCCCACAGCCCATCAAAAGCTTGTAAGTCACTCTGTTGAAGATGCTCAGGTGCCTTCAGTTCTCAGAAACAGAAGCCACGTTCCAAGTTGAAACTAGACGAGCCATAATGATATCCAAATACGGTGGGCCCGATGAAGTCCTCCTATGGGCACGCTAGCAATGTTGTTCCACATTTCGCTTGGCAAGGATTTTTCAAGTAGGAACCACTTTCTCAAAACAGGATATCACTGAAACCAAAACTCAGACATATTCTTTCAAAACACCTATTCAAGGCTTTCTTCTGGCAGGGTCATATCATGCATAATGACAACCTTTTCCAGTAGCATGTTAGGCATGGAAACTTAGAAAGTTAAGACAGTAGGTAAAATAGTAATGAAGCAATTTGAATTTTTATATTACTGGTATATGAATTGCTTTGGAATTTGTTGTGTACATGATATAAAATTATTTTTCATAAAATAGTTTGGGTAGTTTAATTATCTTTGTTTAGCTAAAGACAATTTTTTATACACAGTTGTTTTGCTGGTTATAATTTCACTGTTGGTATCACTGTGTTTTGTATAATGCTGTTAATGTGGCTAGAATACTACCCTGCTATCTACAATATTAACACTACATTACAATATGAAGAATGGCATACCTATAGATAAGGGGGGGCGACCCTCTGTGATCCCAGGCACTTCAAGAACCAGGAAGTTCCCATTCCTTTTCAAGGAGACTCCACACAAGGCAAAATCTTTCAATTCCATCTCTTCATGAATTTCCTCAAGCCACAGCAGAGTAGAAAAAAATTCTTCATAGTTAGCTAGACAAAGGCCCTGAAATGAATGAAGTTTATGACAAAGTTTAGATTGGAGAACCCCCAAAACTCGCAACACACACTAAGACCCATGGTACTGTACTTCTGTTTCAAGTAACACACAATGTGCACACTGTAAATTAGCCTGTCTAAGAATGTAGTTAATGTACTTCCACAATGCTACAGATAGGTAGTAACAAGTAGGTGCCCAGCAAGGATTTGCAGAGGGCATCTCATTTTCCCCTCCCCCACTCTTTCAGAGAAGGGAAAGCCCTTACACTTTTCCTGCTCCTCTCCTCCATTTTATCCTCACAAGAACCCTGTGAGCTAGGTTAGGTTGAGAAAATGTAACTGGCCCAGTTTTCCAGTGAGCTTCCATGGCAGATTGTCAACTGAAATCTGGGTTCAGATACTAGCCTGAAACTTTAACCACTACACAACACTAGCTTTCTTTGGGTGGCTGCTGTGGAACAGTAGCAAGCAGCCAGACCTGTGTGAATCATTCACATCACACAGTATCAAGCTTGCCTTGCTGTAGGTGTCATGCATGCCCCCAATGTGTCCTTCATCAAAGGCCAAAACAACCCTGGAAAGGCCTCTCTCCTGCCTGATACAGACAGAAACCAAGGCTTGAAGGCTGGCAATACTGTTGTGGCTGCCTAACAACCCCCATAATCATTCTACTGCAATGTACAGATAAGGAATTCATTTCTTAAAGCTACAGCTACAGCTTCTACTATTCTGAGGGCTTTTAGCCCCTCTTCCCAATGTTATTTAAGATTTAAGGTTTTTCTGCAAATAACTGAGTGTTGTCAAATCACAACCAACTCATGACAAATCCAGGTCCATGGGGGTTTTAAGGCAAGAGATGAAAAGAGGTGATCTGCCATTGCCTTCCTCTGCACAGCAATCCCAGTCTTTCTTGGTGGTCTCCTATCCAAGTACTAACTTCAGCTGACCCTGCTTTGCTTCTGAGATCTGAAGAGATTGGGCTAGGCTGGGTTAAACCTAGGGGCTTGGGTTTTTGTTTGTTTTTTTGTTTTGTTTTTGGCCCCCCAAAGGGGAATTTTTTTTATTTTTGCATTTTCTACACACTATTATTAGCAGTATTAAAAAACCTTTACATGTTCTTTCAAAAAGCTGCCTTTTCTCCTTTAAATGCTAACAGCATGGGATGCTTGGTTTCAGTTAGCAAAATCTTGTGGGGCTTGAAGGGTTAATCTCTTCCTGATTGGTTTCAACCAATCTGCAGTTGCATATGAGCCTTTCAACATTCACAGAATGAGGAATAATTATGGTTCATCAGATTTGTTTTAGTATAACCCTAGGCCCTATTTTCAGTTTTTCCCATTCCTGTACTACTCCAAATCTATGAAATAGCCACTAAAAGCAAGCACATATCAGAACTAAACAGTATTAAGGATGGGAATACTGTACGTGTGAAAGCTACAGCTGCATGCACATTATGCATCTGTATGTTTAATCTGAAAGTAATTTCTGCTGCAGCTATACCATCCTACCTCTCCAAGATGCGGTTTGAAAAGCAAAACATCCCATCTGTTTTCCACACATTTCCTTAATCTATCTGGAACAGGATACTGAGGAATGAAACTTGGTAGCTGTCTCCTTGACTTCCTAAGATACATGATTAATAAAAAAAATAAAAACATAGCATTAGTAAATTTTCACAGTATATAAAGTAATCCTCACATATTCAACTCAACTGGGGTGGGGGTGGGAAGAAAAGAAAAATATACTCGTGTAAGGAAACTAAATTCAACTTCAGCCTTGTAACCAGGGTCACATCATGCATAAGGACAACATTTTCCAGTAGCATGTTAGGCATGTTAAGCCCAGAACCCATTCCCAATTTTACTATGTATAGAGGGTTGGGGTGAGAAGAGGAGGAATGGTAAGAGACTGTCTGAACATCCTTCTAGGGCAATGATATCCTCTTGCAAAGCTCTACTGTGTGTTCAAATGTACTTGAGAGACTCAGCCTTCAGAAATTAGGAACATAGAATAGAGTTTTCAGTTGTGGTGACATCTGTCTTCTTCCCTAGGGAGACCCATCAGGCCTGTTTGCCTCTGTGGGCTTATTTCACCATTTTTACTGCACTATTGTGCTGTTGTTTTCATAGATCTACTTCACTATACCATCTCTTTATATTGTAAGGGGCACTGAGGGCCTCATGGTCAATACAGCAAGGAATAAATGGGTTGGCTTATTAGTGAGCTATTTTCAGCTGCTGCCATGTGGGTAACATGCATGCATGTGTGAATCTGGCCTTGTTTCATTTCCAGTAGGAGACAGAAGCACTACAAGTTTCTCAGAACAGTCTCAGGCAGTGTTCCCTCTAAGCTGAGTTGGTGTGAGCTAGCTCACAGTTTTTTAGCCTCCGGCTCACAGATTTTTGTCTTAGCTCAGGAAGGATGGCTCCAGAGCAAACTAATTGATGCAGCAGCTAAATCACTCGCTCACAACTTTAATGCCAACAGCTCACAAAGTAGAGTTTTTGCTCACAAGACTCCACAGCTTAGAGGGAACACTGGTCTCAGGTAACTCAGTTGCTTCATTACTATTTTACCCATGAAAGCTGTAAAGAGACAAAACCTGTTCAAATTTGGTCCAAATCAGATGGGACAATTTTTCATTAGTTGGGTCTGGTTTTCCCATATCAACCCCCCGCCCCCCCGCGAATTCATTTTGAAAACATTGCAGGGGCCTGACATGGGTCAGAACTGTGACATAAGGGATTGAGGAGCTTCTGCCCCCCACCCCATTTCCCCTGAGCCAAAAGTCCCACAGGAGGTAGCTTTTTGCCACACGCTGGAGCTGCATGTGCACTGCTGCAGGGAATCCAAACCTATGTGTTTAAAAACATCATGTCCAGTTTGGCCCTCAGTATTATAACTCATGTGGCACAGCTGGGCAACCAGTCTGATTTTATGGACAGTTTCTCACCTTCTGAAGTAACAGCTCTTGAGTACTTAGTCCAATCTTCACATTGCTTGTATTTATTTATTTATTCTTTAGATTTGTATCCCGGCCTCCCCGAAGGCTCAGGGCGGCTAACATGTATGTGACCTAATGCAGACCCCTCCCCCATACTAACACATCTCTTGGAAATCCCAATGGCTGCTCACACCAGCTTGGCACTAGTTTCACACATTTAAAATCTTTTCCTTTTATGTGAGTGTTAAGCGTTTGCCTCAACTAAGACACCTGTAATTGTACCATGTTCTGCAAATGTCCATCTCTATACTGAAAGCATAGTATTTATGAATAGACTTTTTCAAAATAAGGCTCCAGATTTAATTAAAAGCTACATTAAAAACAAATGTTATAATTTCTTAAAGCTGATCATTCTACTGCAATGTACAGTACCTTTTTCCTTCTGGAAAAGCCACAACTGCCTTTGTGTACTGGCACTCTGGAGTAATCTGAGGTTTTCTTGGGCAAAAAGGTTCAGTAGCTTCTATTTGCAACTCTTCCTCAGTTACTATAGTTGCTTCAATGTAGCGCCCAATAATGCAGTCAGAAAAACAGAGCAACAGGAGTTCTCTACAGCGACCAGGATTCCTTGAAGGGAATAAATTAAAGGCAAGAATGTCATTAAAGCCATATATGAAAAAGATATACAGGAAGAGCTATTATTACATGAGTCAAAAAAGACATGTTTTCAGCAAGACAGACAAGTAAAGAGTACTTGACCAATGTTTTGTAAACAGCAAACTTGGAGTGCAAAGTAAGGACTAGATAGTTGATTAGCAGAGACAGACAATGGATTCAAGTTTGCATCTGGCAGTTTGAGATTTAATAAAAAACATGCCAAACCACTACCAGCTGTAAAAGGATGTGCTTGGGGGCTAGTCATGAGTCACGTTAATAGAACCCAACAGACTGAAATGTTTTAGATTCCTTAGCTGCCCCTCAAGAGCACTGTTTGATGCAGCTATTTGGAAAAATAAAAAGACAGAGGGGATGCAAGTCTCTCCAACTAATGAGCCCAGGCATGTGTTCAAGTAGTGACTTATGTAATTGCTCCCTCAAGGGCCTGCCATCAGTGGAAGCCATTGCCAAGACCATTGACAAGGCCAGAGGAAGCTATCAGCAGCCAGAAGCAAGGCCAGAGAAAGTAGCTGCAGCAACTAGGTGCCTTTAGCTTATACCAGGACCAGACCGCACCAAAAAAAAATATCCTTCAAGCACATTTTTAAAAAATGAGTATCTATACTTGTTTTAAACTCATGTAATGGTAAGCTGTCTGGAGAGCAACTAGTTCAACAGTTACGCAATGTTTATGTGGCTGTACCTCTGCCTGGGAGATACTGGACAGGGCATTACAGGCTGTGACTGGATGGTTCAAACAGAACCGACTGAAAGATACTGTAACTCGCTTATGTGGGGCTGCCCTTATACTTGACCTGGAAACTGCAGCTAGTAAAGAATGCAGCGGCACATATGCTGACAGTGACGCGTGTGTGGGCTTGCATTCAGCCAGTGCGGCACCAACTCCATTGGCTGCCGATAGAGTACCGGATCCAGTTCAAGGTTCTGGTGTTAATCTTCAAAGCCCTATACGGCCAGGGACCTGCATATCTTTGGGATCGCCTCTCCCCATATGTGCCCTGCAGAGCATTGCGCTCAACTGACCCACATTTTCTGGTTGTCCCTATCCTCAAGGATGTCCGACTAGCCTCAACCAGGGCTGGGGCCTTTTCTGCCCTGGCCTGGTGGGACAAGCTCCCACTCAAGATCAGGGCCCCTGTGGGATTTATTACAATTTTGCAGAGCCTGTAAAACACAGCTGTTCTGCTGGGCTTTCAGCTGAGGCGGCGGATATCCAAAAACCATCTCTGCCCTCCCCTACTGACATCGCTGACTCTTATGATCAGCCTAAACTGAGCATAGCAACATGAACCTTGATTGCTGTTTTTATTACTGTTTTAGTTATTTTAACTATTGTTGTTGAGATTTTGTGACTTTGTAACCCGCCCTGATCCTATCTGCAGGGAGGGCGGGATAAAAATCAAAATATAAATAAATAAACTCGATATCTCAACGAACAGCAGTTGAAATCCAAGTGGGCATGGAAAAGTCCGCTGCTGTGCTTGCTCACACCTCTCTCTCTCCAACTCTCTCTAAGCACATGGCACTTGATTTAACAATTCCTGACTTGATCAATTATCTACTTCATCATGCTATAGAAATGTAGGTGCCTTAGTGATGTAAGAAACTTTTTCCTTGCTTGGCAAGATATGAGTGAATGACTTTATCTTGTTTTGTGGTTTTATATTGTCGGAAACGATCCCTTCTACATACACTTCTGCAAAGCAAACACCCAGTCTTTATTGTTTTATGGCTATTTTTGCCTTGAATGTTTAAATAAACGAAAGCTGGGCAAAACTGAAAGCTGAGAAATTATTTCTCTCTGAATTCAAAGGCAAACGCCGGCATGTTAAAGAAGAGGAGGAGACAGCAACAATGTTCCGTGCCAGCAAGCAGGAAAAAAAATAGCAGATTTTTTTCGTACCTGGGAATCCTACAATATTTAGTGTTCCTGTTTCAAATAAATTTTCAGTTCTGGACTCCGAGAATACTAAGGATGTTGGCATGGAAGATATGGAAGCACCAGGAGATGGGGATGATAAGAGGAGTTTTTTTAAAAGGAGTTAGTGAAGAGCGTAATCTAGATGGATTGATAAATTACCCATAAAGGTAAAGGTTCCCTTGCTCGAAAGCCAGTTGAGTCCGACTCTAGGGTTGCGGTGCTCATCGCCGTTTCCAAGCCGAAGAGCCAGCGCTGTCTGAAGACATTTCCGTGGTCATGTGGCCGGCATGACTAAACACCAAGGCACACGGAACGCTGTTACCATCCCACCGAAGTGGTCCCTATTTATCTACTTGAAATTTCTTGCTTTCGAACTGCTAGGTTGGCAGGAGCTGGAACTAGAGACGGGAGCTCACTCCATCATGCGGCACACTCGGGTCTCGAACTGCTGAACTACTGACCTTCCACAGCCTGCAGTTCAGCATCTTAACCACTTGAGCCACCGCTAAAACCTTACAGCTTATCTTTGACTCTCTGAAGGACTTAAAAGAACATATCTTGAAAACATTTATGCTAAAACAAAGTACACTTACTTTGCTGTGCATAAAATCACTATGCGAGTCTTTGTACCAGGAAGCAGAGAGATCTCTGTACTGGGCAATGTTTTTCCTTCTATATTTTCTTTGTCATTGCTTAGTTTTTCATATCTTCCAATAACGGACTTCTCTTGGTCTCCCATTTTCTTTAGATCTACTTTTAAGAAAGATATATCAAATTAAGCCAAATTACACTGTCTGACATGCAGGGGCTTTTTTAGGGACAGACAAGACATAGCCATTTGTTATGTTTAATATGTTCATGTATATTTACTTGGTGTAATGGCTGATGTTAGAGATGCTGAAGAATTCTTGGGGTCTTCTCCTGGCATTTGAAGACAAAATTGTTTCGCTTTTTCCCAGTCACCTAACTTGCAGCTAATCAAACAGTGTGCTGTTTGCCCTTTATTCCTAAAAAGGGAACATTGAAGCCTAATGTTGGCTTTAAAGAAACATTTCAAGATATAAGATGATCATTCTGTTTCTTCCCCCCAGTCCTTTTTATCCCAACAGGTATTTGAGGTAACACAGACAATTAAAAATTAAATAAACAAGCATAAGGTATTAGAACCACATTTAAATTAATGGGCTAGGAGGAATTCAACCACATTGGAAACAGTGTTTGCAACCAAGCCATCAAGGATATAAGGTTAAGATTTTTGGGAAGTTTCAAACTTGAGCTGATGATTACACAAGGCAATACTTTAATAGAGTTCAGACATTATACCAATAGTTAGAAGAATACATCTTAATTTTAGTGTGAATAATAAAGTACACCCAGTTTGGGTTACATGTTGGTGATACTATGCTGCGTCTCTACAGTTTTATGCATGCTAACAACCATATTCAAAAAACCATGCTAGTGTTACATTATAGGCAAGCAAAAGGTAATAAGCCCTTAGTACAACAGAGTTCCTGCTTTCTTTGCAATCACTTCTTAGTAACTGCTTCCAGGACAAGTTGACAAGTCACCTCTAATGCTCCCCTATATTCTAGAGAGCCTGTGACTATTTTTTCTATTTGCTTTCAACCTGGCTGGGTGGAGAGAGGGAAGGGAAATAAGATTCAAATAATTGTATAGGTACAGCTACATCCACCCATTCACCATGACATACAATGCTACTAGGTTTATGTTAATGTAAAAGTGGCTAAATTGCCTGTAAGAAATAAATGGACAACTGATATAAATCCATAGTTTTAATTGGCTCTCCCGGTGATATACGTTTTCATGGTGGTGGTGGTGGAAAGTGCCATCAAGTCACAGCTGACTTATAGCAACCCCATAGGGTTTTCAAGACAAGAGACTAACAGAGGTGGTTTGCCATTGACCGCCTCTGTATAGCAACCTTGGATTTCCTTGGTGGTCTCCCATCTAAATACTAACTAGGACTGACCCTGCTTACCCTCATTAGACGAGACTGGACTAGCCTTATGGCAATCGAAAAGCAAAGTCCAGTGGCTTAACGACTAGCAACATTTATTTAAGCATGAGCTTTCACGAGTCAGAGCTCACTGTTACCCCCTCTCTCTCTCACATACAAACGTCATGGTTCCTGTGCAGCAGTTACTGGCAAAAGTAAGCTGGCAGTTTCACTATCCATCCTATCTTAAAGATACCCATTCCCCTAAAATACACTTGGACAAATAAAATCTAAGTAACTGTCCAGTCCAGGACTCGCTGCCCAGAACGGCCGGACCTACCGAAGATAACTTCCACTGAGCCCTGACCAAGGGGCTCCACGCCACCCAGGGACTGACGGCTGGCTTCAGGCAGCCCCAAGCCAACCATGAGAGAACAGAATATTCCCCGACATTTCCCTCTTTCCTGACAGGAAGAACCAGCCATGCTGCTGGTGGCAAGGAGAGTGGAGGAAGGCCGGCCACGGACAAATGGCGCCCCGCCTCCTGAGGTCCTGGGGAGCCTGCCTGCCCAGGGTATCAGTAAAGTTAAAGGGCAGAGCTCCCGAAGCCTCGAGGCAGGAGGGAATGGGGAAGGGAAACCACTGAAGAGAAGGGATCCTTACGTGGGAATGCAACAGGAACACCGGGGAGAAGAGAGGAAGATCCAGCTACACCCGAGACAAACAGGCAAGAGAAGGAACGAGGGAGGAGTTGGGAAAGCGGGCTTTAAGGGGAGCATTAAGAGAACCAATGGGAAGATGGAAAGCAAAGACAGCTAGAGGGTTGACCATTCACTCCACAGAACAGGAGGGAGATGGAAGGCAGATACAGGGAGAGACCAGGATAAAAGGGAGCAACAGCTGAGGTCGAGGAGGAGGATGTTGGTCTAAGTCCATGCCAGAGAGAGAGAGGGACAGAGAGACGAGGAGTCAGCTAATAGGGATGATATAACCCTAAGCCCTCCCAATTCTGAGACCTCAGTGTCCCTGGAACAACAGTGTGTGTGTGTGTGTGGGGGGGAGTGCTAGGAGTGAAGTGGAAAGAACCCATAATAATAACCTACAGCACAAGTTCACTTTGAGGAAGAAGCACGTTATGTTTTAGGGTTCAAATCTGACTTTGGATAGTCAAGTGGAAAAATTTAAATAGTCAAAAAGCAAGCAATTTACTCAATCCAGACTTCCATGCTTTTTTTCTCTCCTAGTCTGAGTGTTCCAAAGTTTGTTGTTTCTGACACCTTGAGACCTCCTTTGTCCTTCAACAAATTTTCATATGGCTCATTCAAGTTCACTCCACTGGTTGAAGATGTCCTGTAAGAAAACAAAATTGTGTTACATCACAAGACACAAATAGCTTGTTATTCCAAATAATGCATGGCTTTTTCCACCAACTACATGTACACCAATAGTCAAAATACAACTCCAGCAGTTTAAAAAAATATACTGAATGAAATGCTTAATATGAGACAAATACTGATTAGAAACAGGCTTTTATCCTTCTGAATGAACAGAAACAAGTATGTTGAAGAATGAGCCTTGAAGACTAATTGGTATTACCACCAACCAAACCTATCAACGATCCTGATATCATTTTGACTTCTACATAGATGTGTCACACTCTCTCTGCATAAAGTCTTGTTGACTGGATTGTCACTTCATGCATCTGATAGGGTGCTCAACTTCATGAAAGTTTTGCTACCATAAATTTGGTAGTCTTTAAATTGGCACAAGATTTTTCTGTTGCAACAAGGTAACATTATTCTTGCTTAATTTAAAAATAGCACCACCCTTTGCATTTTTTTGAGCTGATCAAGAATCAGTAAATTAACTCAATGTTTAATTATGTGCAATGAAAGCCATGAACTTCTCAATCTTTTAAGCTATTTTTCAGGCACATGCAGCTCTAGAGAACATTAATTCTTCCCAACATAGCATAGCATCTCACTGGTGCACTTTGTAAATGTTTTGAAAAAACAAAAGACTGGATTTGGTTGGGAGAAAAAAAGTGTCTTTTTTCTTTTAGGATTAATGAGTGGAGTTTGTTGCTAGGTGAAATCGCACAGAGTGTTAGGATTAAGCCCCACTTCCTTCCTGACTTTAATCCACATTTGGGTCTACATACACTTGAAATTTAGTTTCTGAAAAATGATAGAGAACATCTCATCTATTTTGATCATTAGTTAGTGAAAGCACACCTCTGCCAGTCTGGGCAAAAAATCATTTTGGCTTTTAATTAGCTCAGTGCCACGCAATGAAAGAATTCTGTGTGCATGTGAGTGTGGTTAGGTGAGGTGATTTACAACAGCATTTTAACCTGCTTGTGCTTTCTAATACACATGTTACTTCTGCCCATTATTTGAGATTTAAAAGTGGTTTCTATGTTTATGGATGCATCTTTAGGATGAAACAACATTTTGGGTATGCTAGTAGCTCTTATGGACTTATTTGCAAAACTGCTTCAATACACACGAAGTTTGTCACTATACTATTACAAACACTACACTACAAACTCCCGCAAGAATTGAGGACAGAAAGGCACCACCACAACCCTGAAGTCCTACATTAGTTACTGTTGCTGTAACATTCTAAATCCGCTTAAAGGTTTTACGGAAACACGTATTCCCTGAATCAAATAATCCTTGATTAAGGAAATAGAATTTGCAATGATAGTCAAGAGAACCTACACAAGAGAGCAGAGGCATACAAGATTTCCCTTGCACATTAAATTCTTGGCACGGGTAGAGAACTTGCACTTCCAGGAAAAGATTTACACATTTTTCAAAAACCCAAACAGATTTATTATTTTAAGAAAAACAATACCCTGCAATGGTACAGAGACAGTTTACAAACTAATCTTTAGCAGATTACGCTGTTCAGAAAACCCAAGAAGGAATCACATTGTACTCTGTCAGACACTTGTTTTCTCATGGGCACAGAAACTTTTTAAGCACAAACCAGGGAATTCTCTATGAAATTAGATTTACCCATTATTTTCTGATGGAGTCATGCAAAGCGCTCTCCAAGTATAACACGACTGGTTACTCTCCACCACTACCACATTGACCAGATCATGTCTACGGGGCATATAACCATCAGGAAGTATTAATGAATCCATAGTGAAAAACATACTGTCATCTACCACACCAATTCTTCCGCAAACACTGGAAATCTGAACCTGCAACAATTACAGTTACCATTAGACATAATAAAAACTTTTTTTTCATCATCTGACAAAGTGTGCATGCACATGAACACTCACACCTTGAATAAAACTTTGTTTGTCATAAAGGTGCCATTGGACTCTTAACTTGGTTCTATTGCTTCAGACCAACACGGCTACCCACCTTGATCTAGCAAAATATCCCTTTACACTACTTAATGCATACTTAGGCTGAGGTTACCAGAGATAACAGTATCTCAAAATGTCCAATAACTCTTCATACAAGAACAACCTTGGCTACATTCAGCTGTCTTAGCAAAAAAGTTCAGACAGTGATGGGCATAAACTGCCCCCCAATTAAGTAACAAGTGCAATCAAACACCTCATGATCTGATAGGCCTTGACTCAAGCTCTAATTTGTGAAAATGCCCATTTGTAGGAACCTGGTCAAATTGAAGCTTGTTTCTTCCCCACAAACCACAGTTCTATACTTTAGATGTGCAGCATGTGGGCATAGGGAGAAAAGTCCAGTTCGCTGAGATTTCCAAATGCTAATGCCTGGGTGAACATTTTAGCTCAAGAGCCCCTATCCCTGAAACCACGCTCCACATTTGAGGGAAGCAGGAAAGCATGACAAAAAGCTGTATTTATACTCTTCAAAGATGAACCTTTATTGTCTTGCAACAGCTAACTGCTGCCATTTTTGCATGATCACTATACAGAAATGTAACATTACATAGTATCACACTTATTTTCAGTTGTCAATTTTTAGATCAGCATAGCTAATTTGTTTTCTTCTATAAATTAAGAGGATTATACGAAATATTAAATTTACCAAATACTGGTTTAAGACAGATTCCGGGATGCTAGTATTGGTTGCTCCAATGCAAATATATGGAAGAACATTTCAAATCACTGCAATACGACAGAGGATATGCTTGAACATTACTATGCTTCCTCACCTCTAATCACGATAGGATTGGGAGTTGGCCTTGGACAAGCTCCCACTATGCATTCAGGTGCTGAGTAACTACCAGAGGGGCACACAGTTTAGAAATATCAGGTCCTGTAGAGTCTAGGGAAGACTGCCAGACACTCAGGCCAACTTACAGCAGTTATGTAGGACAAGGTTAACATTATAATGTTGTAATATAAATATAATTTATATTATAATGTTGTAATATAAATAACCTCCTCATGGATCACTGCCTTGTCGTGGCGAGGGGGCTTGCGCAGTTCAATGAAGCTGTGGGCTATGCCGTGAAGGGCCACCCAAGACGGACAGGCCACAGCAGAGAACTCAGACCAAGCGTGATCCACCGGAGAAGGTAATGGCAACCCACTCCAGTATGTTTGCCAAGAAAACCCCATGGACAGTATCAAAAGGCTAAAAGATATGACGCCGGAAGATGAGCCCCTCAGGTCGGAAGGTGTCCAATATGCTACTGAGGAAGAGCAGAGGACAAGTACAAGTAACCCCAGAAAGAGTGAAGCGGCTGGGCCAAAGCCGAAAGGACCCTCAGTTGTGGATGTGTCTGATGGTGAAAGGAAAGTCCAATGCTGCAAAGAACAATACTACATAGGAACCTGGAATGTAAGATCTATGAATCAAGGTAAGCTTGACGTGGTCAAAAATGAGATGGCAAGACTGAACATCGATATCCTAGGAATCAGTGAACTAAAGTGGACAGGAATGGGCGAATTTAACTCAGAAGACCATTATATCTACTACTGTGGCCAGGAATCTCGTAGAAAAAATGGTGTGGCCTTTATAGTCAACAAGAGAGTGCAAAAGGCAGTACTGGGATACAATCTCAAAAATGACAGAATGATTTCTGTCCGATTCCAAGGCAAACCATTCAACATCACAGTAATTCAAGTGTATGCCCCAACCACTGATGCAGAAGAGGCTGAAGTAGACCGGTTCTATGAAGACCTACAACACCTCCTAGAACTAACACCAAAAAATGATGTCCTCATCATCATAGGGGACTGGAATGCTAAAGTAGGAAGTGAAAAGGTAACTGGAATAACAGACAAGTTTGGCCTTGGAAAGCAAAATGAAGCAGGGCAAAGGTTAACAGAGTTTTGTCAAGAGAACACACTGGTCATAGCGAACACCCTTTTCCAACAACCTAAGAGGCGACTCTACACATGGACATCACCAGATGGGCAACACCGAAATCAGATTGACTATATAATTTGCAGTCAAAGATGGAGAAGCTCTATCCAGTCAGTAAAAACAAGACCTGGAGCTGACTGTGGTTCAGATCATGAGCTACTCATTGCAAAATTCAGACTTAAACTGAAGAAAATCGGGAAAACCATGAGGCCATTCAGGTTTGACCTAGATCACATCCCTGATGAATATACAGTAGAGGTGAAGAATAGATTCAAGGGTCTGGATTTGATAGATAGAGTGCCTGAAGAACTATGGACAGAGGTTCGTGACATCGTACAGGAGGCAGCAATCACCACCATACCAAAGAAAAAGAAATGCAAGAAAGCAAAATGGCTTTCTGATGAGGCTTTACAAATAGCAGAGGAAAGAAGGAAAGCGAAAGGCAAAGGCGAAAAGGAAAGATTTACCCAACTGAACGCAGATTTCCAGAGAACAGCAAGGAGAGATAAGGAGGCCTTCCTGAATGAACAGTGCAAAGTAATAGAAGAAAACAATAGAATGGGAAGGACTAGAGATCTCTTCAAGAAAGTTGGAGAAATCAAGGGAGCGTTCCATGCAAAGCTGGCCATGATAAAGGACAAAAACGGTAGGGACCTAACAGAAGCAGAAGAGATTAGGAAAAGATGGCAAGAATACACAGAAGAACTATACAAGAAAGACCTCAATGTCCTTGACAAACACGACGGTATAATCACTGACCTTGAGCCAGACATCCTGGAATGTGAAGTTAAATGGGCCTTAGAAAGCATTACTAACAACAAAGCTAGTGGAGGTGATGGTATTCCAGCTGAGCTATTCAAAGTCTTAGAAGATGATGCTGTTAAAGTTCTGCACTCCATTTGCCAGCAAATTTGGAAAACGCAACAGTGGCCACAGGATTGGAAAAGATCAGTATACATTCCAATCCCAAAGAAGGGCAATGCCAAGGAATGTTCAAACTATCGCACAATTGCACTCATATCACACGCTAGCAAGGTCATGCTCAAGATCCTACAAGCTAGGCTTCAACAGTACGTGGATAGAGAACTACCAGAAGTACAAGCTGGGTTTCGAAGAGGTAGAGGAACTAGAGATCAAATTGCCAACATTCGCTGGATTATGGAGAAAGCAAGAGAGTACCAGAAAAATATCTACTTCTGCTTCATTGACTATGCTAAAGCTTTTGACTGTGTGGATCACAACAAACTATGGCAGGTCCTTAAAGAGATGGGAGTACCAGACCACCTCACATGTCTCTTGAGAAACCTGTATAAGGGCCAAGAAGCGACAGTTAGAACCGGATACGGAACAACTGATTGGTTCAGCATAGGAAAAGGAGTACGACAAGGATGTATACTGTCACCTTGCTTATTTAATATATATGCAGAGTACATCATGCGAAATGCTGGCCTGGATGAATCACAAGCGGGAATTAAGATTGCTGGGGAAAAGATCAACAACCTCAGATATGCAGATGATACCACTCTAATGGCTGAAAGTGAAAAGGATCTAAAGAGCCTCTTGCTCAGAGTAAAAGAGGAGAGCGCAAAAGTGGGCTTGAAGCTCAACATCAAAAAAACTAAGATCATGGCATCCGGCCCCATCACTCCTTGGCAAATAGAAGGGGAAGTCGTGGAAGTAGTGACAGACTTCACGTTCCTGGGATCCCAGATCACCGCAGACTGTGACTGCAGCCATGAAATTAAAAGACGCCTGCTCCTTGGGAGGAAAGCGATGGCGAACCTAAACAGCATGATAAAAAGTAGAGACATCACCCTGCCAACAAAAGTCCGCATGGTCAAAGCAATGGTATTCCCAGTAGTCATGTATGGCTGTGAGAGTTGGACTATAAGGAAGGCCGAGCGCCGAAGAATAGATTCTTTTGAACTATGGTGCTGGAGAAGACTCTTGAGAGTCCCTTGGACTGCAAGAAGAACAAATCAGTCAATCCTCAAAGAAATCAACCCTGACTGTTCCCTGGAAGGCCAGATAATGAAACTGAAGCTCAAATACTTTGGCCACCAAATGAGAAGGGAGCATTCACTGGAAAAGACCCTGATGCTGGGAAAGATTGAAGGTCAAAGAAGACGGGGACGGCAAAGGATGAGATGGTTAGACAGTGTCAGCGATGCAACGAACATGAAATTGAGCCAACTTCGGAGGACGGCGGAAGACAGGAGAGCCTGGCGGGAGATTGTCCATGGGGTCGCGAAGAGTCGGACTCGACTGTGCGACTGAACAACAACAACAACAACAAATATAAATATAAAATTGACTAAAGCAGCTTAAATATCATGGCTTCCTAGAAGGAACGCTGGTAATGACAACCTTATACAGGGTGATGAGAGTTTTCCCTAAAAGGAGATTTAAGTGCCCTCACAAAACTAAAGCTGTCAGATTGCCTAGAAGCCATAACTAAATTTCGTCATGTTTGTATGGGGATGTACCCTTGAGTAGCTCAATTTTGGAAGTTTTACTCTAGCACCAGCTACCAGTGTAGAAGTTTCTTAAGTTACCCATCATCCTTACATTACAGCACTTGAGAAAATATTTGTAACCACCCCTCAAAACTAGATCAGGAAATATGCCTACCTTGTCAATTCTCTTATATCTCAAGGGCTTTACAGAAACTGCTTCACTGCTCCAAGTCGTTGGGTTAATAACATATTCAGCTTGCACCCAATCTCCTTTGTAAGGTTCAAAGTCTTAAAAATAAAATCAGCACAAGTACAACAAGTTTGGACACAGCAGAGATAAAAGTCTGAGTCAGTGTTGTCAAGGCATGATATCAAAACAAGGCACAGAACAATACATGGCTACATAGTTATAACATCAGAACTTATTGTGTTCTACTGGACAATGGAGATTAAATTTCAAAACAGCAAACTGGAAAAAGGCTACAAATGACAACAGTCCATACATATTTTATCACATCTGACATAAGCTGTTCAGATATCAACATCTTCCCCTCTTATGTGACAGGGCTGGGGGCTGCCAAACAGTTAACTTGTAATCTTTAATAAGCACAAAACAATTTTGGCCTATTTATTACCTGGTGTGGGTTGCCATGAGTGTATCACACACATTTTGACTTTAGTGGCATCCTATTACTTTCTGGGCTCAACTCTAGGCACCAACTATCACCTATGAAATCTTTCATAACCTGGGACCTGAATCAACCCAGAGGACTGTCTCTACCTGCATAGTGATATGTGAAAATTTCCAAAGCTTAATTTTCTGTGGATATTTTCAACTTCTAAAGATTCATTGATTCATCAATGTAATACCAATGTAATACCAATACAAAATTGGGCAAGCTTGGCACTTTCAAAGCTAGAATTAAATTTTCCAGGTGATTCTTCCTAGGAATTGTGCAGATGTATATTTCACTTAATTAAAAAAGGAGAGAATCCACAAATTCATATAATAAACCAAATAAAAATTAAAGTATTAAATTTATTTAATTTGCTTGTACCCCACCAATGGGGACCCAAAGAGGCTTACATCATTCTCCTCTCTTCCATTTTATCCTCACAACAATCCTGTGAGGTACATTAGGGCTGAGTGTGTGTGACTGGCCCAAAGTCACTCAGCAAGCTTCTACTGCATGATCGGGAATTTGAAACTGGGTCTCCCCAGATATTAGTCCAATACCACTACACTGTACTGGCTTTTACCTACTGGCTGAGCTGGTCAAATTTTTGTTAAGTATTACTCTAGCAAGAATAATTTCCCAATAAAGCCTTGAATTTGTCTGAACATCTTAAGCTACAGTTGATTTGCTTACTAATAAAACATTTCAGCATCAATTGCTATTTGGACATAAAGTTAACATGGGTACTTTTGGACTTTTTTTTAACTGGACATGCTAGATCAGTTCACACCCTATTTAGATCCATCAGAAAATTTTCCAGAAAACTCACACTGTCCTATACAGACACATATGCCTATTACTTCTAGTAGTATCTGATGCTTCTTTGGTACAGACTTCCACAGCCAGCCTGCAGACATTCTTTGCGATAGCCCATCCCAGAGGATTGGGGTTATCTGAGATTGTCCAGAGAACTTCTTCTCTTCTACTGTTTCAGAAGCAATGTAAGGCAGCTCTTTTTCCAGAGGATATTATTTTGCTGAGCTGCAATGCTTTATTAGCAATCTGAAGGATGCTAGAAGCTGACTGTAACTTTGTATGATTTTAATTGTTGTGTTTTAATATATTAGTATTTATTCATGGATCACTAGCTGCCTCATTTGTATATTTTTAAAGAAAACAATGATCAAAACATTTCAAGGGTAAGAGAAGTCATGACAAAGACACCTTATAGCTCTGCACATATAACTACCAGCTCTGGCAGCAGCAGAATATCTGAACAGGGGAATCTTGTTCGGCATCACCTAGGACAGCACTGGAGTTATTTCCTAAACTGTAACTTGGAAGAAGAGAAGCTGACCCCCTCTGGTGCTGTTCAGTAACTACTTCTGTGATAGGGGCTATACACAACAGGTTAAAGATACTGCAGCTGTGGTGCCAGTAGAGCTATTTGGAGTGTTGAACTGAAGATATTTGCTAGTTTTGTCCCCCTGATCCTATGAGGTAGCCAAAGATGAAAAGAATTCCTTGCAGTCCCATTAATTTTATCTTTAAAAAAATGATATAGCTTTAAAATATGTTGTATAGTTTTATAAGACACCTTAGGTACTAACAATGGAAGAAAAGTAAGGTATAAATGCTATAAATGTATTTTAATCACAAAGCCTGTATACTTAGAAAACAGACTAGTATGAATTATCTAGAACTTTTTAAATACCTTTGAAACATTCAATCACAATTCACGTGGAGCATCATAACTGTACAACAAATGGGTAGTCTGTCTAACAGCCACCTTGTACTGTGGGCAGTGTTAGGGTATAATAATAATCCTTTCTGTACTGTTTTTTCAGTCACACTACCCCACAGGCATTTTGGCTCAGCTGATGGAGATGGTCCCCGGCCTAGCACCTGAGAACTTCAGGTTTATAATACTGGAAGACTTCCACATCCATACTGAGCCACAGGAACAGACCAGCCATTAAGGCTACCAAGAAAAGTTCTACCCCCACACCCACCCACTGCCACAAGTTGGTGACTCCCAACTCATGTGATGTGTGCGGGTGCAAGTCTCTGTTCTGCACCTGTGGCCCCTCCTCCCTCAGGGAGTGGGGCCATTTTCCAGGGCTGTTTTGGCTTCCCAGTCTGCCCTGCTGAGACCACCCCCCCAACTGGTTCAGCTCAGGACTTTGTGACTCCAGGGGGCTATCACACTTTACTAGGCCCAAACAAAAATGGCATTCTTTTTTTTTTTTTAAACGCTTCATCACAGATTTGTGAGCAGTTCAGTGGTGCAAAATAGAGACTATTGACCTGGCCACATTACTATGGTTTAATTTATGCACACCGTAGAAGTGATGCCAGATGATCAGCTTTTGGAGAAGTTACATTAGTTAGGATTACAGAATGCTCATGAAGGAGAGACTGTAAGAGGGACCACAAGGATTAGCACTATATTCAGTGCTATTTAACATCTTAAAAAGTCCTAAACCAAGAAAAAAATTCAGTTACGTTCAAGAACCTCCTTCATGGAGAAGGATGTTGTTTGATTGATGTAGCCACCACAAGCAGTAACAGAAGTAACAGTGCCAATTAACGTTTTTGGTTCAGAGTCCACACCAAAATGAAGCACACTGCTACCATCTTCCCATTTATCTGAGACAACGTCTACCTGCAAAAGCAAACAAAAACCACACTTTTCTACAGGAAATATTCACAGGCAACGTTTCTTAATACGTTTTTTCAATAAGCTATACCACACGCAGCTAAAGAATATCTACTTTCCAACGTACCTCTACATTCCTGAGGAATGCCTGTTTAGAACATAGCTGTATCCAGATCTGGCTTTTAAAAAAAAATAACTAGGTCATTAACTAGGAGTATAGAAAAACCTACTTGGTAAATTAACCTTCCCCCCACCCCTCAATGTTGGAAAAAACTAAAAAATGAATCAAATTGTACTTACTTTATTTGAACTTAGTATCATCTTTAGTAACCCACCCACCCACCGAAAGAATAAGAGTCTGGTGAGCTGAGCCTCCAGCCCCCACCACCTAACACATAACCCTGCTTCTTTCACTGCCACCGCAACCAGGCCTGCAGCAGCCACTGACCTTTGCAGCTGGGACTGCAACAGCAGCCGGTGACTTCCTCTGTTGTGACATCCTTGTCCACTGCACCCAATCCCCACAGTGGCTGCTACTTTAGGCCCCAAATTACTCACAAGAGGTTTCCCCATGTTCTTGCTGGGGCTGCACCCAGTGTGACTCCTGGGCTTGGGCTTCTACCATTGGCAAGCCTGGCGCAACTCCTGGGCTATGTTGTCGGTGGCAGCATGCCCAGCGCCAGCTCCCAGGCTGCGCCACTGCTGGACCCAACACAGAGCCCTGGGCTGTGTTGCTGCCACTGGACCCAACTCAGCTCCCAGGCTGTGTGGCTGCAGTCACCGGGCCCAACATGGCTCCCAGGATGTGCAGCCGAAGCTGCTGGACCCAGTGTGGAACTCCAGGCTGTGCAGTCACTGCCTGAGGTACTTTTTTGGGATATTTAAACCCTAGTGTATTATTTTTTTTAATTTTCAGATTTTTCTGCAACCTGGGAAGTACCTCAAGATCACTGAAAAATTTCTTTAGTCTCTCTGTGGTGCCAATTCACAGACTTAGCTATCCACAGATGGGGGCTACACGTGGCTAATAATATAGAGATGTGGTGTTTTGCCATGTAAATACTGTGTGTTTCATTTCTATGTTTTAATGTGGTGTTTTAAATGTATGTTGCTGTGACCTAAAATGTAGGACTGTAGAGTAAGTTGGGAAGTTAAACTTTGTAGAAGTTACTGACCTAAGTGGCAAGTGAGAAAATAAGCCTGTGTGGTTCAGTCTTTTTAAGAAACCATTACACTTACGTACTTACCTGAAACCATTAAGCTTATTAGCCATACAGAAACCATTACGCTTGTATACTTATAAACTCTATTCATGTCCAAGAAAAACAACTATTTATTTTAGAAAAAAGGATCCACTTTTACCTCAGAGCCACTCCCATGTGCTGACTGTTGTCACTCTACCACATCCAACTATGCCATCCTGTTCTTTGGTGAGAGGCTTTACTGACCGTGAAAGACACCTTAGAGATAATTCTAAGGTGAGAGGCTTTACTGACAGTGAGAATAACCAACACAAAGAGGCAGCATAACACACATCAGCTCAGAACACAAGAGATGCCTTTGCAGAGGTTACATAAGAGGTCAGACAGAAAAGAATAGAAACTACACTTGATCTTAGCCAAAAGGCCGAGAAGCAATACAGAAAAAATCAAAAATGTTACAACATATGCAGAAAAAAATCCATCCTTTCAATCTGATATGCCAACATATAAAGGAGGAAGATATCCATTTTGCAAAAAAGTAACAAAAACTCAAACAGATTTTGTACTCATTTGTACCATACCCTGATTGCCTTTAATCCATTAGTTGTTTTATCCTCTTCAACAATAGCTACAACTTTTTGTCCTACTTGTAGTAGTACATTGTTCATGACAGCATCACTGGTGAAACAAACTAAATCATCTATCATCCCATAGTCTAGGCAAAATCTTGTTACTACGCCTTCTATTGTTTTTATCTCTTTGCCACCTAAAAAAAAAACATCCAGAGAAGTTTTATATTAGTGCATACAGAAATTACTGTACTTACTGTGGTGACAGAAATATTTACATCAAAATCATACTAGCACATATTAGCCTCCTAACCAGTACCAAGGCTAACAAGTTTCTTAAGGTCCTGTAAAACTTTCCAGAAATTTTGAAACCAGGGGGTGGGGAATGCAACTTTGGGAAAAACTGTAAAATAATATATGCAGTTTTTTCTCATCAAGCCTAAGCTAATTTTACAGCTTTGACACAGAAAGCATTATTGAGAATTTCCTTAACCGCTATAATTGTGCTTTCATACCTGAGTCTCAACACAACCCCACCTGTGGATACTTAAAAATCTTGAGACTGGAACCATGAATAGCCAGCAGATACTGATACTGGCTTTTACTGTCACTCACTATTAAGCTAGATCCAAGTCACCAGAAGAAGGTAGGCAGCAATCCACAAGCACAAGCAGCCCTGTCTGCTCCTCTGATGAAGGCAGCTGCACCCTCTTTAGCCCAGAAAGATATTTTGGATTTCAGTGCAACAATTTAAAGTCCAATGGCACCTTTAAGACCAACAAAGGTTTATTCAAGGAATGAGCTTCCGTGTGGTTTATGTGCCTATATGATACACAAGAATTATTCTTTAATGGAGAAGATTTATCTTACTCAAAATGTACAGCATCAATACACACAAAGTTTGTCACTATACTATTATAAACACTATACTACAAACTCCACTGGCTCCCAAGTACCTTCCAGGCCCAATTCAAGGTGCTGGTATTGACCTTTAAAACCCTATATGGCTTGTGACTAATGTATCTTAAGAACCATCTACTCCTATATGAATCTACCCAATTACTGCAATCATGTTCGAGGGCCCCTTTGGGTGTCCTCACCATCTAAGGCTAGATGGATGGCACCCAAGAAAGGGTCTCTTTGGCAATGGCACCAAAATTATGGAATTCCCTCTTCAGGGAGATTTGTATGTCCCCATCTGCCACTGTTTTCTGCCAGCAGGTGAACTCTTACTTGTTTCATCTAGCATTCCCTCACTGACCCCCATTAACAGGTACAAGTTATAATCAGGTAATGTTTAATTAACCGTTTAATTTTATTTAATACTATATGTTTTAAATGTTTCTAATTGTTCATTATATTGGAAAACCTAAACTAGGTGGAAAAGCGGTATAAAAATGTTCTAAAAAATAAAATCAAAATATCATGCAACAGATTGGCAGTGACAGTGACCTAAAAGAACAAAGTGATAAAGCCATTAATGTTAACGTTTCTGAAACTACAGCAACCCCTGATAGTTTAGGAGAAGGTAACAGAAATAGCGAGTTAGCCACATCTAAATAGTTAACCCTTATGTTCAAGACAAGGTAGCAGATACAGCTTCAATGTTAATCAGCCTAACCCACAATCTGTCAAGGGAACTTTCTTCCAATAAAGGCTGTAGGAGAAAATGAATAATTTCACTTAACTTATTTTAAATGACTTCTCAAAATGAGAACTATGAGTAATATACTAATGAGTCCTATTAACACCCTTCATAAAAGTTAAAATTGCACAGTCAAACTTCCAGCATATCTTTAAAAAAATGCATCATGACACAGTTTGTCAAAACAATGTCAACTTGCTTTATATTACACCTCACTTCTGAAATAAGCAACTTTTAAAGTTTTCTCACTCAGGGAGCAATTTCACAACAATGTTCCTGTGGGATCCCTGTGTGGTAATATTCACAGAAGTTTAGTTCTTAGAAATTCACTGTTTACTACCAGTAAACACTCCATAACAAACAAAGCTTATAAAGACATTTGAACAAAATTATACAACCAGCAGGATACGTGACCAGAAAATGTTAAAAATCAGCCAAAATGTTAAGGAGTTCTTAGAGAGTATTTTTAGCAGACAAAAGCAACTAATTTACTCCAGATTCACTGGAATGCTTTTTTTTAAAGCAACATGTCTAGGCTCCAAAGATAGAAAACCCTGTTAAGATGAGCCAGTCCTTACCTACAGATAACTGAAAATGGTTTACCACAAAATTGTCTTACTAGTAAAGGAATAAGCTTAGGAATAATGATAATACTATATAGCCATAAAAATCTCACAAGCATCTGCAAGCATACACACACAAGCTAATAATAAAGCAGATGTGTGCTAGGCACAGTAGGCATCCTTTAATTTACACAAGTTTATTCCCGTATACTAGGATACATTTGTGTAATGTAGAAACTACATGTTAAGCATCTGTAAGGATCCTAGATTTGACAGACAAGAGAAAAGGTCAGCTTCATAAACAGTCCTATTTTTTCTGCTTTCACAGCAGAAAATTACACTCTTAAACCAAGTTATGAGGAACAGATCTATTAAGTCACCAATAACTGATAATTTGAATCTCCTTCTTCAAAGGCAACATGCTTTGAATATCAATTGCCAGGAAAAGAAAAAAGTTACAGCCTTGTGTGCATAAGGACTGTGTGTATTCCTACAGGCAACTCTGTTCAAGATGGTATCTTACAAGAACAAACCATAGCTTCCACACTCTTATTGTTCTGCATCTTTTATGCCCATGAAGGCATTTTTGAAAAGAGAACAAGGTGGTAGGGAAAAAGAAAATGTTGATTAATTTTTTTTTTAAAGACTCTTTATAAAAGGAACAGGTTGAAAATTTAGATAGCCTTTGTACTGTTTACTTGATGCATTCATTTCATTGTTCTTCAACTGTATAATCTAGTTTTACTGTGCTGTTTGGTGTTTATTATGTTCATCTTTATTGTACTGTATTCTAATTTGTGTATATCTCAACAACAATGGAGAACTATAAACAAACTTCAAAACACTAAGAAACAGAATGCTGAACTAGATGGAGCTTTGGTGAGATCCAGTAGAATTCCACATCCTTAGAAAAAGAAACACACAAAATTGTGAACAAACTGGTGCACAAAATAAAAACAACATTAACCATATAACCTCAGCACCACCATACTCCAATTTAGGCACCAAAACAGAGTGGAACTAAGCCACTCTGATCACAACAGGACTAAGAGTCAGAATATTATTTGGCCTCCTATAACACTGGTCAAGCTGCAATAACCTTGAGCATCCCCAGCCCATGAAGAGAGTTTGTGTGTGTCTCTGTGTTTATACATATCTAAGGGAGCTTTGACTCTCAAAAGCTTATACCCTGAAAATCTTTTTTCCCCCCAACATTTTTTATTTAGGAGATAAACATACATGGTCAACACTTTACATTTTCTGTATTTTCCCCGTTACACCCTAACCCACCTCCCTTTCCCCCCCCCCTTATAAAAACTGCAGGGGCTCTAGTGATCCTTGGGGGGGGGGGGTCTACAAAGCTGAGCAACTCAGGTAACTGACCGTCGTGATATTTTGTCTGGTGTGGGTACAAGTAATTCTTGTCTAGCAGTCCCTGGTATCTCTCCGCAGACCCCAACGCTCCTGATAACTGCATTATTTGAAACATAACCAAACTGGGAGCTGCGATCAAATCACTCACACCGCCCTGCTGGCCTTGGCCCCAATAAGGCCCAGTTTTAATATGTAAGCAACTAATGTGCATGCAAGCCTAGGAATACTTAATAGGGAGAAATTAGTCCCCCTGAACTCGCTAGAACTTCTTTCCCAGGGAACAAGCCTTAAAATCGAGTTGCAAAGCAAACCAAAAAACAAAACAAAAGGGGGGGGGGTTGGACAAAGCAAGAGATTCAGCAGCGAAAGCCTCCGTCTGAAGCACACTCGAACGAGTTAGACTGTCAGCCCACGCATTAAGCACACCCCGGTTCAGCCCACCTCTGGCCGCCTGAGTCTCTTCAAGGTCCGCCTTTCGCCAGAAGAACGCAAGACCTTTAGACAAGAACCCGAACATAGTCGGAGACCTTTCTCGGCGAGAAAGCTACTCTCTCGACGCCCGGAAAGCTCTCCGAGACAACCTGCACGGCGCAGCTCCTTCCAACTCCGAAACAACCCCAAATCTGTGTACACGTGGTTCTCCTCGCTAGCCCTTAAGTAAGCCACGCCCCTCGAGAAACTCGTCGCGCGCGCTTCGAAGCACGCGGGGCGAAGCGGGGAGAAGCACGCAAGCGCAGAGGTGGTTTGCCATTGACTGCCTTGGATTTCCTTGCTGGTCTCCCATCTGAATACTAACTAGGACTGACGCTGCTTACCCTCATTAGACGAGACTGGACTAGCCTTATGGCAATCGAAAAGCAAAGTCCAGTGGCTTAACGACTAGCGACATTTATTTAAGCATGAGCTTTCACGAGTCAGAGCTCACTGTTACCCCCTCTCTCTCTCACATACAAACGTCATGGTTCCTGTGCAGCAGTTACTGGCAAAAGTAAGCTGGCAGTTTCACTATCCATCCTATCTTAAAGATACCCATTCCCCTAAGTAACTGTCCAGTCCGGGACTCGCTGCCCAGAACGGCCGGACCTACCGAAGAAGACTTCCACCGAGCCCTGACCATGGGGCTCCACGCCATCCAGGGACTTCAGGCAGCCCCAAGCCAACCATGAGAGAACAGAATATTCCCCGACATTTCCCTCTTTCCTGACAGGAAGAACCAGCCATGCTGCTGGTGGCAAGGAGAATGGAGGAAGGCCGGCCACGGACAAATGGCGCCCCGCCTCCTGAGGTCCTGGGGAGCCTGCCTGCCCAGGGTATCAGTAAAGTTAAAGGGCAGAGCTCCCGAAGCCTCGAGGCAGGAGGGAATGGGGAAGGGAAACCACTGAAGAGAAGGGATCCTTACGTGGGAATGCAACAGGAACACCGGGGAGAACAGAAGACGACGCTGAACCCAGCGACACCCGAGACAAACAGGCAAGAGAAGGAACGAGGGAGGAGTTGGGGAAGCGGGCTTTAAAGGGAGCATTAAGAGAACCAACGGGAAGATGGAAAGCAAAGACAGCTAGAGGGTTGACCATTCACTCCACAGAACAGGAGGGAGAGGGGAGGCAGATACAGGGAGAGACCAGGATAAAAGGGACCAACAGCTGAGGTCGAGGAGGAGGATTTTGGTCTAAGTCCATGCCAGAGAGAGAGAGGGACAGAGAGACCAGGAGTCAGGGTGATGTAACCCTAAGCTCTCCCAATTCTGAGACCTCAGTGTCCCTGGAACAACAGTGTGTCTGTGGGGGGGGGGGGAGTGCTAGGAGTGAGGTGGAAAGAACCCATAATAATAACTTACAGCACAAGTTCACTTTGAGGAAGAAGCACGTTATGTTTTAGGGTTCAAATCTGAATTTGGATAGTCAAGTGGAAAAACTGGGATGACAGGCCACTGAGTGGAATGACAGCCCCAGGGTGCAGCACATTCAGGCACTGGGATGACAGGCCACGGAGTGGAATGACAGCCCCAGGGTTAAGCAGGAGT